GATCAAACCTTTTACTCATCCGACACCAAATTTCAATCCAATCTCTTCTCTTGTTTCAAACTCCTCCCTTCCCTCCAACAGCGGTTTCCACCGAGCCTCCGTCGACGATATCGACGACCGTTTCCTCTGCCGCGGCGACGTCAACGCGACCGTCTGCCATGGTTGTGTCGTCGCAGCAACAACCAACATAACTCGCCTCTGTCCCAACGATACCGAGTCCTACATCTGGTACGACGAGTGTACGCTAATCTACTCCAACAGCACCTTCAACAATGATGACATAGTTCCCGGGATTACCCTTAACGACGAAGGAAGCACCGTTAACTCAAATAAGGACCACTTCAACCAATTACTGTCGAACTTATTAAACAGTTTGGAGGGAAAAGCTTTGGAGAGTTCCATGGGAGAGAAGAAGTTCGCCGCAGGTGCGGTGAGTGTGACAACCGCGCAAACGCTGTATGGAATGGCCGCTGCATGGCAAAGATGAACACCACCACAGACCACATTACTGTCCTGCTTCCGTCACCCGTTGCATGACGAAGACGAACATGGATGCATCTTCAACCGCAACTTCGATTAAACCCTAAATACCCAAATTGATACCCCAATTTGTGAAATGGAATGAACTTTGGATGAACCCTAGAAGTACTCAGAAGAATCCCAATCCCTAATTCGATCAAATAAAAATCTGAATCCCAATTTTGGTTTAAAACTTTCATTTTCTTTTTACTTAAAATTTTTTATTATCCACGTGCTTCACTGCCCTTGCTTCAGTCAGCGTCAGTTAAGAAACTGACTACAACGTGCCACGTCAAACACACACTAACGCCGTTGGAGACAATTTAACGGAAAGGATCCAATTGTTGCAATTTTCATAAGTTTGGGACCCAATTGAGATTTCTAGAAACAAAGGGACTAAATTGAGATTCCACGCGAAAATAGGGACTTCGTGAATGATTAAACCTAAAAAGAAAGATGTTCAATACTAAATTAACATACTAAAAATATGGTTGTTACATTACTAATAAAAGAAACTAATAAACAATGTCTAATTTTGTTTGAGCTCCGCTGGCTGCCCATGAAAATCAAATTTTGCAACTTTTCCTTGTACATCTTTTGGTATAGCAAACCCCTGAAATCAAAGACTATATTATAATCAAAACACATTAACCAAAAATAAACCAAAATTCGGAAGTAAATATACCTGGCCAAGCATTGCTGGCTCTACTTCAATACCCCCAACACCCCATCCAGTAACTCCAAGCTAATCGATCATTGTTGTATGTAAATCAGTCCCAAAAATACTGTCAAGATAAAGCAGGCCTTCATTGTTGAAAACAACACGTCCAAGATATTCAAGATTGACCTACAACAAGACGTAAACACTAACCATGTGTTGAGAGGGTCGCACCTCCCACAAAAGTTGTTTGCATAAAAGAATGCAGTATAGTGCTAGGAAGTGACTCCTAGGTCGTCTCTCAAGGACCAAATTGGGTTCAGTCTCAGATCAACACGTAGTGGGGGGGGTTTCGAAAGTGTTTTTGTGATTTTAAATGAACTGAATTTAAAACTGGAAATTAAATACAACCAAAACATAATTGAAAATGCGGAAAGAAATGTGGAAAACAATAAGACCGAACGGTCTCTAAAGAAAGACGAAACGGTTTTACATTGAGACCGAACAGTATCTAAAGCAAGTGAGGCAAGTGAAATGCAGGAAAGAAAAACTCGAAACTGAACAATAAAAGTAAAACTGAACAGTAGAACTTAAAGCCGAACAAAGTAGACAACATAGTGAACGTAAACAATAAACTGAACAATGCAATAGATAAATATCCAAACACAATTAAAGATACTAACAGTGGTACCAGAGCTACGTTCGATCATCAACTGGGCGTAGATAAAATTTTCAACTACCTCAAACAAAACTAAACCATTCTACTACTTCCAAATCTATTATCAACACATGGCTACTACTAATCAAACATCATCAATTCCAGTACCTATTTTCACAGGAGAAAATTATGATTTGGAGTGTCCAAAATGAAGACATTGCTTCCGCTCTCAAGATTTATGGGATATCATAGAAGAGGGATTCACTATTCCAGAAGACACCTCTACTCTTACTGCAGCTCAAAAGAAGGAGTTGAAAGAAACAAGCAGAAGGATTCAAGGGCTTTAATTTGTTCTTCAACCATTGATGACACAATTTTTCCAAGGATAATTGGGCCACAAGTGGCTAAACAAGCTTGGAACACAATACAAGGAGTTTCAAGGAAGTGACGAGGTACGCATGTTAAACTTCCATTCTCTAAGACGATAGTTTGAATATTAAGAATGAAAGAATCTGAGACCATTAAAGACTACTATTCTAGAATAAAAGAAATAGTTAGTCAGATGAGAGCCTATGGAAAAAATATTCTTGACAAAAAGATCGTTGAGAAAAATTTTTTTCTATCCCCAAAATATGATGTAATAACCGCGATTGAACAAACAAAAGATTTGGCTACATTGTTAGTCACAGAACTAATGGACTCTCTTGAAGCTTATGACAAAGATTGAAAAGGCATGAAGAAACTCGTTTAAAATGCCTTTCAATCAAAACTAAAATTTACGGTATCAGAAATAAAGAATATGAAGGAAATAAAAGTATAGAGAAGAAATTTCTAGAAATAAAGAAAATCCTAGAAGCTTCTCTGTGACTCGGCAAGAAAAGTATCCTCCATGTGGCATAATGTAAAAGACAAGTCCACTTGGAAAAAGATTGTTGGCATCATGGAAAACCTCAATGCCACTATTGCAAGAATTGGTTCACGTAGAAAAGTATTGTCGTAATAAAAATAAGCATAAAGCAAACTTTGCGGAAATATAATCAGGAGAAACTCTTATTCTACGCCCAATCAAGAATCTTCTGTAGAGAAGGAAGTTTGTACTTGGATAGTGGATGCAGCAATCACATGGCGAAAGTGAAAGCACTTCAAAGACATTGATAATCTGTCAATGTCAAAGTTCGCTAGGAAATGGCACCACAGTGGAGTCTCGAGACAAAGGAACTGTCATGGTGGAGACAAAGAAAGGTACGAAATTCATCAAGGGGATGTTTTATTAGTTTTCCATCTTAAAAGAATCTTTTAAGTATTGGCCAAATGATGGAGAATGGATATTTTCCTTCATTTGAGAAAGATACATGCAAAATTTATGACATAAAATGATAGAAATTGGCCAAGTAAAAATGGAGAAGAGAATAGAAGCTTTCCTATAAGCTTTAACCTGGAACTCATATTGCCATGAAGGTAGAAGTTGATGACTCATGGCTTTAGCATAGGAGATTTGGCCACTTCAAACACACATACTTAAAGCTTTTATATCAGAAAAACATGATGGAGATCTTCCATGCTTGAAGAGAATAATTATCATGCAAAGGATGTCTCCTCGGAAAACAACACCGATTACCATCTCGACAAACAAAGCATGGAGAGAAAAGACTTATTAGAGTTTATTCATACCGATGTTTGCAGACCGATGAGAACACCTTTCAATCATAAACAACAGGTATTTCATCCTCTTCATTTGATGACTTCTCTAAATGACATGGGTCTATTTCTTAAAGGCAAAGTCAGAATTTTTTGGAGTATTCACGAAATTTAAGGCCCTTGTTGAGAAGCAAAGCGAAAAACAGATAAAGTAGTTCGAAGTGATCGTGGCAAGGAGTACACTCTCACGAGTTTGACAATTCTTGAAGATGAAGGCATAGAGCGACAACTTACAGTCGGCAGTATACTCCACAACCAAATGGCGTGTCAGAGAGAAAGAATCGCACTGTTATGAGATGCAAGATCAATGCTGAAAGAGAAAAGTATGCCTAACACTTTTTGGGTTGAAGCGGTCTACACTGCAATTTACATTCTAAACAGATGTCCAACTAAAGCAGTCCAAGACAAGACTCCTATTGAAGCTTGGTTGGAAGAAAGCATCAGCTAAACACCTACGAGTATTTGGATCTATCTTGCTTCATACATGTTCCTGATCAAAGGAGGCACAAGCTGAAGATAAGACTATACGAGGAATATTCTTAGGATATAGCACCAATCAAAGGTTACAGTCTACAACCTACAACAAAACTCATCATCAGTCGAGATGTTGAAGTTGATGAAAATGCTTCTTGGAATTGGGAAGAAGAAAAAGTTGTTAAAGCAACATTCTACTTCTAGTGCAGCAATCTCAAGAAGAAACTCAAGAAGAGGAAGAAAATTCAGGTAACGCTTTCTCCACCTCCACAACAGGAAGATTCTTCACCTGAATCTAGTCCAAGAAGAGTAAGATCTTTGGTAGACATATATGGAAACCTTGCAATATTAGCCATGATTGAGCCTAACTGTTATGAAGAAGCATCAAGCAAAAAGTATGGGTCAAGGCTATGGAAGAAGATTAAAATGATTGAGAATAATAACACTTGGAACTCGTAAATTGCCCTCATGGAAAAGATATCATAGGAGTGAAATGGATATATAAACAAGCCTTAATCTGATGGAACATACAAAAGCACAAGGCAAGATTAGTTGCTAAAGGCTACTCACAATAACCAGGAATAAGACTACAATGAAATTTGCTCCAGTTGCTCGCTTAGATACAATTAGAGTATTATAGCTCTTGTAGCAAAAAAGGATGGAACTCTATCAACTAGATGTCAAATCATCCTTTCTAAATGGAGTGCTCGAAGAAGAAATTTATGTTTGACAACCACAAGGCTATATCAACAAAGGAAATGAAGGCAAAGTACTAAGACTTAGAAAACATTATATGGCCTGAAGCAAGCCCCTCGAGCATGGTATAGCAAGATTGATAAATACTTCATCGATCAAGGATTCAGGAGGAGCAAGAGTGAGCCAACACTATATATTTAAGGCACAAGAGTGAAACAGACAAGGAAGGTATATTTATCTCTCAAAAAAATATATTGAGCTCTATTAAAGAAGTTCAAGATGAATGGTTGTAAACCTGTCACTACTCGCTGGTGGTAAACAGAAACTACAAAAAGATGATGAGCACAAGAGGCAAATGCATCGCGCTACAGGAGGTTTAATGAAGTCTCCTATATCTCAGCCACACGACCAGATATTATGTAGCTACAAGTCTTTCTATCAAGATTATGCAAAAACCAGTCAGATTCATTATGGAGTAGGAAAAAGAATTTTAAGATATCTACAAGGCCAAAGGAGTTTGGTATATTACAAAACCATGACTAACTCAAGGATGATTGGCTACACAGATAGTATTGGGCAGGATCAATGGACGACATGAAAAGTACGTTAGTAATATGCTTTCTCATTAGTATCGGGTATTTTATCTTGGGCTCAAAGAAGCACAACTGTGGCACAAAGCAACCAGAAGCAGAGTATGTAGCAGTTGCTGAACCACGAGTCAAACAATATGGCTACGAAGAATACTTGAGAAATGGGCGAACCACAAGATGGACACCGACTGTTA